CCATCCAACTGTTGCACCCCCCCCGTGGGGGGACGGGTTCTGACTGTTGTCTGTGCTTACGGGCCCAATAGCAGTTTGGATTACCCACCCTTCTTGGAGTCCTTAGAGGGGGTACTGGAGGGTGCCCCTCCTGGGGACTCCCTTGTTCTGCTGGGGGACTTCAACGCTCACGTGGGCAATGACAGTGAGACCTGGAGGGGCGTGGTTGGGAGGAACGGCCCCCCCGATATGAACTCGAGTGGTGTTCTGTTGTTGGACTTCATGGTGTTCGTGATGGACAATCCGTGACGAGCACAGAAGTCCAACAACAGAACACCACTCGAGTTCAGATCGGGGGGGCCGTTCCTCCCAACCACGCCCCTCCAGGTCTCACTGTCATTGCCCACGTGAGCGTTGAAGTCCCCCAGCAGAACAAGGGAGTCCCCAGGAGGGGCACCCTCCAGTACCCCATCTAAGGACTCCAAGAAGGGTGGGTAATCTGAACTGTTGTTCGGCCCGTAAGCACAGACAACAGTTATTATATTAGTCTGTCATTATTATGGCCCGTTTGTCTATGAAAATATATTTAATGTAACTTTAAATTATCATGTGGGAGATATTTAAGTCTTGACGTTAACCTCTGTGCACCTCCTCCTCTCTCCTCCTCCTCCTCTCTTTTTGTTATAACTCCGCTTTGTTCGGCTCGCTCCTCCAGTCGCGCGGTTCGCCAGCTCGGAGACGCGCGTTCAGCTTTAAAGGCAGAGCGGCTCGGGAATATTCCCCGCCATTTCCTCGTGCCGAGCCCTGGAATGTCGAATAGTGGCTCGAGCTCTTCCTCGCGGAAGGAGTTCGACGTGAAGCAGATCCTCAGGATCCGATGGAGGTGGTTCGGTCACCCCGCGGTTGCTCCGCCTCACTCCCCGCCGCCGCCGCACGGAGACTACTTCAGCGCGAGGAGGACGGGTAGCAGCTCCGCGGACGGACCCTCCGTTAGCGGCAACTTCAGCTCAGCCGGCGTGAACCCGGGAGGAGGCGCAGGGAGCCGCGGCGGGCTGGTGGCCAGCGGCAGCGCCGGGTCTAACCTGTGCAGCGGCAGCAGCCGAAAGTTTGCAGAGCCGCCTGCGAGTCGGGCCGGTCCGGGAGGAGCGGCTGCTGGAGCCACGGGGAACTCCTGCACCCGCTCCGTCAGCCAGCCAGAGTGCAGGAGCTCCGCCGCGGGGCTCTCGTGGGTGTCCCCGCCGCCTCGTCGCCGCCCTCGCCCGGCGACAAGCAACATGGAACCCCCCGGTGAGGCCCCGGTGCCCCAACTGGCCGTGGAGCCTTCGGCTCATGTCGGGCTCCAGGAGGAGGTGGAGGCGGCGGCGGCGGCAGCAGCAGCGGGCACCGAGGAGAACAACCATCCGGAAACAGACTCCAGCTCCTGCAGGTAGGACAGAGACAGCCGGGCTGCTCAGGTTTCCAGCAGAAAGTTAACAACATTAACAGCACTATTAAAACTCACATTCTTCTTGTAACTTTACTGAAAAGTTTTTGCAACACCCTAGTTCACATTTCTTCTCAGCAATTATAGTTAAATAACAGTTTATGTGACTTTTAATCTAATTAGGTCCTCACTTCTCATCAGTTATCATCAGGCACATCAATGAATAAGCGACTTTTCTGCAAATCTGCAGCTGCTAACACAAGCTGGGAGATATTAAATAATGGCTGGCTGATTTTGGGTGGGTCTATAAATGTCATTCTCTTACTCTATTGAAAAATAGTACACTTTAAACATGAAATTACTCTATAGTAAATCAGAATCTTGCAACATGCTGCACATTAAATTTGTTTTGTTTTCAGTGTCTGCAACATGGTGTTTGTGTGCACACACAACATAGGGCGTGTATGATACTAGTGTGAAGAAATTTAATTAATAGATGCCTTGGATGCAGAAGAATAAAGCAACTGCTATAATTTTTCCTGCTCATGTTCAAATGTATTTGTGACATTTACTCTTGTTACAATAAAAACTAAGCAACGGGAGAAATATAGTCATTGGTTTTATTTTTTGCATGTTTATAATATATCAAAATGATGCATTAGAAAGTCTTGTCCTAAAAATAAAATGTTTTCAATGATAAACACTATTTATATAAATTTTTTTACACGAGTGTTTGATCTTTTATTCTAAGCCAGTTCTCACTAATAATGTTTTTATCTGAGTCAAAATGAGAAAGAAGTGTCATTTCATTGTAATGCAAGGCTTGTTGTCGTCTCGTTAGCGATCATCATGGACGACTGGCAGCGCTTCCAGAAAAAAAAAAAGACTTGATATCTCACTGGTAGAAAATGTATGGCTTCAGTGGATTCAGAGCATGCACATGCATGCAGCCACCTCCCTGCATGCTTTATGGTTGCCATACCAACACAGAGATTAGTTTTTGCTGCATGCATGTGCAGCTACGAGCAAGCATGTTTTCATTTTTGTGTGCGTGTCTGTATTTGACTTATCGTGTCCCTCAGAGAGCGTCTGTGCTATGATGCTCCAAGAGCCCGGGTGGCAAAATCCCAAATGGGATCATGGGAAAGGATGCACACAGAATCCCAGAGTGTCTGAAGTCTCCGCTGGGCTCAGTCCACTCATCTCCTCCTCTCCATTTCACACCACACCAAGCTTTCACCCCACCCCATTTAATTCTGGTGTGCCTCATTTACTTACCCTCCTTCTGTCCATCTCTACCCACTCTCAGCCATTCATTTGCCCTTTCCCTTTTTTTTTCTTATATAATGTGTGTGCGCGTATAAGAGAATGGTAGGAGGAAGCGAGAGAGGCTGAATGACAGTTGGGTGAGTGTCCTTGCCTGGTGCGGGGCTTTAAAGAAATCTGGCTGGATGGTGAGACATTCACTGTTTTTGTCTCTCCCTGTCCATGTTGAGTGGTTGCCAGGCTCAGCTAAGGGGACTGGAAGGCAGCATTCTCCCACTTCAAAGCCATCCCCTCTGGCAGTATTTAGCCACACCATTCATCTACGTACACACTTGTGAAAACACATGCACTCTGGCTTGCACAGTCGAGGGCAAGAGAGCGAGCCAAAAAGCATTCTCAGAGGGTTAGATCTGGATAGGGAAGAGAGGAGATGGACGGATGGATGGATGGATGGATGGATGGATGGATGGATGGATGGATGATATGAGGTGGAATAAAGTGGGTGAATGATGAAATTAGCTGGAGATGTAAAACCAGAGACAGGAGACAGCAGCACAGTAAATATGACTCCTTCAGCAGACAGCATGAAGCAAAAATACACAAAACTGTGCACACCACATGCAATTTGTTTCATTTAAAGATGTTTTTCTGTCTTGTGAAAATGCTCATCATATTGTACAGCTTCATAGATTATAAGAACGGATGTCTTATTCTACTAAAAAGCGTATTCACCCATCTTATTGTGCAATTTCAGCTACACTCACTGACAAAATAAGACATAGTGATGAAAAAAATAAATGACAATGCACATGTTGAAAGGTCACGTGACTGTAAAGCAATGATTTCAACATCAAACAGATATCAGAGTTGGCAGTCAAGCACTCTGCTGGTCCCGTTTCAAGAGGGTGTGGTCTCCCCTTGGGCCTGCATACAAGCAGTGATTTGGTGCAGAGTCATACAGTCACTGTATCTTCGCTCGTGGCAAGCCGGCTCACAGATGTTGTAACTGGCTCTCAGAACCCAACATATCAGATTTGGGTTGGAGCTGACGTGTCATCTGATCCTACCCGTGTTTGTTTGGGGAAAGATTGGTGGAGCTGACTGGTTTCAGGAGCATCTTGTAACCAGGACACAGACCATAGTTATGCTTGTTCAAAGATTGTACAACAGTGCTGTCTCAGGACACGTGAGACATGGAGACACATTTACAATGGTCATCCATGATGATGCAAAGTGAAATTCGTCTTTGAACATGGTACAACGCCACTCCGTTGTCCATGCCTCTTGGTTATAGCGCCTCTCCAAACTGGGGTTGGGTGATATTGGCAAAAAAATTTATCACGATTAATTGTGGTATTTAGCCGATAACGATCAATTTGACAATTAATCCCCTGGAGTCCCTGGACATCCTTATGTCCTAGTCACATGACCAATTTAGTGGGAAAATTTTGCTCTTCAAAAAAATCTGTTCCAATTTGTCAAAATTACAGACTTCGAGCTATACATCAAATTTTTTAATTGTGTTGATAGATAAATGAATTTCAGAATTTATTAATTTTTTTATGTTCGTCATGATTGAAGCGGAGAGGAGCACCGAGCGGACTGACCGGGAGAATCTCCCGTCAGTCCGCCTAGTGGCATTAATCGTATTAATCGTCAAGTGCCAAAAAATAATCGATTAATGTATTTCTGACAATCAATTGCACACGATACTATTATGCACAACCCTACTGGACAGTCTGTCTGACTGAACAGTTTGTCTGTCTGTCTGGACATTCTGTCTGTCTGTCTGTCTGTCTGTCTGTCTGGACATTCTGTCTGGACATTCTGTCTGTCTGGACATTCTGTCTGTCTGGACATTCTGTCTGTCTGGACATTCTGTCTGGCTTGACATTCTGTCTGTCTG